ATAAAGAAAGCTCTTATTTGCACTCTCTTCAGTTTAAGCTCCCTTACTGTCCTGTGTGCGCTTAATATCCTTTCTCTTATAATGTCCTAACAGATTCCTTTCCTATCATTCAAGTCTATTTGACTTGAATGATTTAACTCCTTTGGAGAAGTCACCTTCAAATCCTTTTTTAAGCCTGTGGGCTGGTGTTCACCTTTGAGTTAGTTGCTGGATTTCCCCTCTTTCCAGGTAAACTTATTAAGGAAGATTATCAACTATGTGTTTCCTATTCCATGTTACACATACAGGTGATATTTATACATTCTTTGCATTGAGAAAGACCAAGTTTGGAATTACAAATGCAGACCAGTATAATAGACATTTTTGCATAAATTCTAAAAGAGTTAGTCTTTTTAATTAAAGAAAATAATAAGCTGTCCGTTTCTTATTATCTAGATTTCTATGTGAAATTATTGATATCAGTGTCTTGTAACTCCAAAAGCCATAAATGAGACTTTTGAGGGTCTTACTCTACTGCTGTACTGAAGGGTTGGGGGGGCAGAAATCCTTATTTCTCTTAAAAACTCACATTCAAAGACTTTGAACTCCAAGAATTCTTCTCACATTCTCCTCTCTTTACTTTATCCATTTTGCAATGCAGAAATTGTAGGAAGGCTTTCAGTTGATGGGACAAATACTTTTTTATTTCTTTTGTAACTTTGACATTCAAAGATTCCTCAAACTCACTTTACTGTCAGAAAACAATGATATTTGTGTTTTAACCATTCAGGTATAAAGATCTCAACACATCCTCTGTTAGTATTTATATGATATACTACATTATTAATGTGTAATAACTGATTGTTTAATAAATGTTACTATTTTTTCTGAAAAGGAAGTACTGCAAGAAATCATGAACACATACTGAGTATCCAGCCCAGTTTCATGGTGATCAGATAGACCTACTCCTGACACAGTCAATCAGCTAGGGCTTCGGTTTCATTTTTTTCACTAACTACTCTTACAGTAGTTATTGTTGAACAGATGTATAGTTATTTTTGAAGTTTTGGGGTCTTATTCATATTGGTTACTTTGTACAGGATGCACAAAATGCACTGAGATGCAAACATGTCTTATCAAGAAAAGACTGAAACTGATGGCTCAGCGAATTCACCTACTTTTCTAGCAGATATATCAGTTTCTTTTTCCTGGTAAAATTTATTTGAAAGCATTCCAAAATTCTCCCAGAAATTAAAAATAAACATAAGAATGATAGCATTATTTCTGACACTCATTTCCATTTCTAATTTTCATTTTTGGGATCAAATCACTATTTATGCAGAAGTTACAATGAGACAAATCCATGTAAAAAGAATGTTAAGACCTTCTAATGTAGGCCTTTATTTGGAATACAAGATTTGTAATTTTAAAAGTAGTTATTTAATATGTTGATACATGAAATACATGTTAAAGTTCTAAAATCTAATGGTTATCTGTCTGACACTTCTCTTTAAATGAAGAAAGTTCTTATGATGATATCAATCAGATTTGGGGGTCTTGCATTTTGATCTGTCCAATAAAAATCATTTATTTCAGTACTTCCATGCAAGCAGCTTATCATATATCACTTTACCATTTTCTAATTAATAGGAGTAGTTGGGACAGATATGCTTTATTTCCTGATACAAGTGAATAAGATCCCAAATCTCATTCCTATCAAAATGCTGAAACATAAATTCATTGGAGAAAATAGAGGTTTATAATATTGAAAATACTAAAATTAGGCTTTTAAATAAAATCTTAAATATATGACTAAATCAAAACTGCTGGAGAGGCTGTGGCTGATAAAAACCCTTCTCCACTGCTGGTAGAAGCATAGACTGGGGCAACCATTGTGGAAAACAAGGTGGAGACACCTCAAAACTAGGTGTACAGGTTCCATTTGACTTAACTATTCCTCTTCTCGGTAACTTCCCAAAACATTTAAAAGCATAATACCACAGTATTATATTCACACTCATGATTACAGCAGCACAACTTGAAATAGCTAAATCTTGGACAGCCCCAAAACCCACCAATAGAAGAATGGATAAAGATAATGTGGTATTTTTATGCAACAGAATAATACTTTGCCATAAAGAAGGACAAAATCCAGGCACTCATAGGTAAGTAGATACACCTTGAGAAAATAATCTCAAGTGAAATAAATTGGACATGCATGTGTAAGTACCAATTTTTTTTTCTCCATTATGAGAAAGTTAAAGTGTAAATAAGGAACAAAATGTATTAGACATTGTGAAATGGAAGAAAATGTTCAAATGGGAAGAGAACAAAGGAGAAGAATGGGGAAAAGAAGGAAGGGAAAAAACTGGATAGAAGGAAAAAATAAAAATAAAGATTTTGTAAATAAGTGGAGGATAAGGGATTGAATGGAACAAAGGGGTAAAAGTCAATATACATCATGTAAAGGTACAAATTCTGAGGTGATTGGGGAGATAGATCAGTAGAATAAACACTTGCCTGGTGAGCACAAGGTCTTGAGTTCAATCTCTGGTACCAAGGGAAAAAAAAAAAAAAAAGGTGCCAGGAGATGGTTCAGTGGAATAAGCACTTCCCTGGCAGCGCAAGGGCCTGAGTTCAACCCCTAGTTCAAAAAAAAAAAAAAAAAAAAAGAGAGATGTCCCTTGGCTGGTATCCTTTACCCCCTGGTACTTACTTACAGTGACGATCGGAAGAGCACACGTCTGAACTCCAGTCACGCCGCAACATCTCGTAAGGGCCTGAGTTCAACCCTTGTTCAAAAAAAAAAAAAAAAAAATTAGAGCATGATGCAGTGGTCCCTCACATCGCAGAGCCTATGTTCCAGACACCCCCACATTAAGTAAAAATCAACAAAGTAGTGATTTTATATTTGGGGGCCCAGGGAGATAGCTCGGTAGAATAAGTGTTTGCCTGGTAAGCACAGGGTCCTGAGTTCAATCCCTGGTGCCAAAAAAAAAAAATTCCTTAAGAATGTGGTCATTATATATATCCAAAATATACAAATGAAATGAATTTAAAAATCCTTTCAATTTAGTAAGTAGATTTGTACAGAAATGGGCACATAACTTTCACCAGTGGAAGGATTTCTCCATTCTTTAGTTTAAGAAAATTGTCCATATGAAAATAATAACCAAAGTTCTCTCATATTACCTAATCTTTAAAAATAAATTCTATGGTTGAATTCAGCACCCAAAACAAATTGTACTTTGTTAGCTTCCCTGAGTAATAAAAATATATTTCATTAAATGAAGGTATATTCCAAGAGAAGCCTAAGGCATAAACATTCTATCTTCAAAAGTAAAATTTCACTTCATTTCTTTTTTATATGATAACAAATAATAAAAAGAGAAATGCACTTTGCAAGTGTTGCATTGTTTTGGAAGTATTTACATTTTTATCTGATATAAAATGATCTTTCGCTTCATTGTCATTCATGAATAAGGAATAAGGTAACAAAGAATAAAGTATGTCCCAATAAGGTAACAAATAGAAGGAAGTGACTTTTTTAGAATATAATTTTGTCTAGACATAGCACAAACTAGTGTAAAATAATGTCTCATATAAGTAAAATCGTAAGGTTACATTTTGATTTATGTCTGTAGCCTCTTTCTTTGTGACAGCAGGCACAAGATATTTCAAAAGCTTAACAGAATACTTCTTACATAATGTCTTATATTTGAAAGAATCTTCATAACTTGAACTCAAATATCATTTGAACATTACATAACATTTCATAATGTGACAACTACAATTAAAATTATAGGAAAAATTTATATTGCTCTCTAAAACTATTGTTTATTCACTCAGAATTCTAGGAGTTTCAGAAAAGTGAATAATATTTTTTAACTATATGTGAATTAAGAATTAGGAGATTGTATGTTTTTATTTTCCTCCTTTAAAGGTTCAATGAAATTATTCTTAACAAAATATTTCATTGCTAATTTAGTTTGTTTTACATATTTGTTAAACCACCTCTATATCAAGAACTAAATGTCAGGGGCTGGGGAGGTAGCTCAGGGGAATAAGCGCTTGCCTCACAAGTGCAAGGGCCTGAGTTCAATCCCCAATTCCGCAAAAAAAAAAAAAAAAAAAAAAAAAAAAAAAAAAAAAAAGAACTAAATGTCTTAGCATTTTTATTGAATTAGCTCATAATGTAGAGACATGTAAGCCAACTGAAATGTCTTCAATTTTTAATAAACTGCAAAATATATTTGAAAAACAGAAAAAAAGTATCAGAGTTTATCAGAATAACTCAAGAGAAAGGCATAGTAAAATTTGAAGTGCCCTTTTTGAAAGAAATTATAAGGTTCCATGCTATCAGGGGATTGGAGGGAAGAGAGGAGAAAAGAAATGAGAAAGTTCAATTCTCAGTGGAGGAGCACATGGATAGCTTAAAAAATTAACTTATGCAGCAAAGCTGAGTTTACTGTCAATTAGAGGAAAGAAATAGCAATGTACTTCAGGAAAGAATTTTATTAAAATATAATTTATTTGATGTGCATGAAATTAGAATGAGAAAAACAACTAGAAGTAAACAATTGTAATTAATGGAAGAATTTGTGAATATCTAAACGGGCTATGAAAGAGAGACTTGAGTTGAAAAATTATATGATTAATAATTAAGAGTTAGAAATTTGTTTTGGGAAGGGATGCAGATTCAGAGGAAAGATATATTATAATTTTTGGGGTGCGGCCAGATAGCTCAGCAGACTAAAGTTCCTGCTTAGGCAAAGCGCATAAGCCGGTTTTGACCCCTGGCACCACAAGCCATGCCAGCCCCACCTCTGGGGCTCACAGAGACAGCAATTGAGACTGGGTGTGGTGATGCACAGCTTTAATCCCAGTGCTTAGGAGGCTGAAAACAGGAGGATCACTACAAGTCTTATCTACATAGTGAGACCCTGTAGATCCTGTCCTAAAATACATAAATAAAAAATGATAATAATTTTAAATTATCTCTTTCTCCCTCCCTCCCTTTCCATCTTTTATTACTGTAACAGCTTCATGTTTTATTTAGCCTTCTGACTCTGTGCTTGAGCCTTCAACACTTTCACCACGATTTTCTGCTCTTCAATAAGGAAAGCGCGCTTGATCCTGTCACGGACACACTTGGCACACATGGAGCCCCCATAAGCCCTGCTGACGTGCTTCTTCGTCTTAGACAATCTCATAAGAACTTTAGGCCGCACAGCTCGAACCCCTCGAAGTCTGCCTGGGCATACACCACATGCAGATTTGGGGGCCTTCCCAACCTTCTTGGTATAGAGGTAAACAATTCTATTCCCTGGGGTTCGGGACAGCCTAGTTTTGTTGGAAGCAGTGTTGTAGGAAAGCCTACGACGGTACGTCAGGCGCTGGACCATTGTGAAAGCCTAAACTCCAGACGCCGTACCCGGAAGAGCTCTTTCCCCTTATTGTTGTAGTGTTAAAAGTTGTTGGGTAAATTAAAAATAATACATGTAAAGTTTGGAGTAGGATATTCAAATTTAGTAGGTGCTAAGGCCCAGCAAAGTGGTGCGTTCTTATAACCCCAGAGCTAGAAAGGCTGACCTTGGAAAAGGATCACCACGGGTTCAAGTCAGCCTGAGCTACATAACGACTTCAAGGATAGCCTGAATACAAAGCAAAATTCTTCTAAAAAAATGTAGTAGGTGCTCAGAACATTAAAAGTACCATTATTAGATATAATTTGTTGAATTTGGAGGTAATTTTAAATGTTATGGGGCCGGGGAGATGGCTCAGTAGGATAAGCGCTTCCCCGGCAAGCGCAAGGATCTGAGTTCAATCCCTAGTTCCACCAAAAAAAATAAATAAATGTTAAGGAGTTACAAACATGTATAAATTAACACCAACATTTAAACTGAGAATAATCAGTAATAGGAGTCACGTGAGACATCCAGCATAAAACAGCAAGTAAGCCGGGGAGATGGCTCAGTGGATAAAGTGTTTCCCTGGCAAACTCAAGGGCGTGAGTTCAATCCCCGGTTCCGGCACATAAATAAATAAATAAATAAATAAATAAATAAATAAATAAATCAGCAAATAGGGTGTTCTAGAGCTCAGGAGAGACTTGTGTCCAATTATAATATTAGCAGTCATTAATATTCCATGAATCAAATGAATTAAATTAATCTATATTTAATAATTTCTAGGGAAGTCATGAATAGTTTTGTTCACCTACTTAGTAATCCTCTGAAAACAAAAGGATTACTATGAGTCTTATCTACTCCATGAGACCCTGTAGACCCTGTCTTAAAATACATAAATAATAATAATTTTAAACTATCTCTTTCTCCTTCAGTTTCTCCCCCTTATACCAAATACATTTTAAAAATTACATTAAAAAATTCCTTGGCTATTGTAGGTACTTCTTTTCCATAAATTTACCAAATTTTAATCCCCCTCCCCCAATTAAATGAATAAATGTACATACTTGCTGGGAATTTGTTTGGAATAGTAAGGTATATAAAGATTAACATGGAAAGAATTGATTTTAGGCCAGAATTGAGCTTTGTAATCCACAAACATAGTACAATATCTTCATTTAGTTAGATGTTCTTTAACCTTTTTAATCAATATTTTGTGACTTTTATATATTGATTTATTATACATGTTATACTTTTTCAGTATGTTGTGACTTATTATATGATTTTAAAATGTACAGAATAATTATTGTTGGTATAATACCTCAAAAGAAATATACATTATGAAGTTTGTTGAGAAAATTTATCAAATTCAAGTTTTAGTACTTTACATGTATATCCATTTTGACTGTGAATATATAACCTTATCCTCTGCAAATCATAATAGTATAGGTTTTCTGTTTTCAGGTTTTAAATTATTTTCTGTTTTCTCATTTATGTACTGACTAGAATATTCAGAGAAATTATAACAAGCATCCTAACCTTCTTTAGGTCATTTTCTCCAAGGCATATTAACCTTACCCCTTTCACACTCCTTCAATTTTTTATTGCAGCACTGCTTACTCTTAACATCGTATATCACATCTAACATCCTAACTGACCTGTTTTGTCTGTCTTTACAGCCTCAGATTAGCTGATAATTGAGAATAAGTTTCTTTTTTCCATGCGGAAATATCAAAGCACCCAGTGTTTTATGGTGGGAATATGTCCTGAGAAATGCAGAACCAGGGCCTATCATCTTTGTGTGCATATCATATATCTTATATTTACGCAGATATAGATTCCCTCAGTCAGCCATTCTGCATAACCTCTACTAATCAGGAGATGGTGGCATAAGGCAAGTGGGAGTATACCCTGAGAAACAGTGAAATGTATTATATAGCAAATGCCAAAACTAGTAGCAGAGTTGATTATTGTCTTAGTTACTTCTCCCTCATTGCTTAGCCAAAATACTTGACACCCAGAATTAAGGAAGAAAAGGCTTACTTAGCTCACAGCTTGTGGAAGTTTCAGTTCATACTTGGCTGGCTCCAAGGCAGAGTGGTACATGGCAGAGGGCAGAAGTTCATGTAAGTGGAAACCAGCAAAATGCAAGAGAGCAGAGGAAGAACAGTGGAGATCAAGGCTCTTTCCATCCATTACATTGTATGCAGACTACCCACCCAGGGCATGTGTAGCACTCACACCCATAATCCCAGCACTGAGTCATAAATTAATCACAAACTCTAGAAACCCACCACTTGACTTCAGGCTTTTGGGGGACGTCTAGACAAAAACCATGACACTTACTATTTTTAAGCAGCATGCACAAGGCATTTGCATGTGCTATATATTTATATGAAGGGAACATAGTAGATTTGTTCATAACCCCATCACATGAACAAAAGAGTATATACTGTTGTGGGGTAGTAAAAACTTTCAGTTCCATAGTAACCTCATGGAACTGCAGACAACCATAAATATTATCTGCCGCTTACATAAACACCATTTTTCAGCACAAAACTATGCTTAAATCTTGAATACTAGAAATAATATGTTTTCCTTTTTTTTCATTTCAATGAAGAAAAAAATAGCAATGAAACAGTTTCAAAACAGGTTAGTAAGACAGTTACAATAATTGATACATTGCACATTATCTTTGTAGTAGTAATTCAGAGGACATGATGCAGACATGATATCTTGTCTAAAACAATATTAGCACACATCTTTCTTCTCAATGGATGAACTAAGAGAAAATAGCTGTATATCTATCCCAGTATCTCTCTCTCTCTCTCTCTCTCTCTCTCTCTCTATATATATATATATATATATATATATATATATATACACACACACACACAAATTGGTCATTCATTTATATCTCTTTTTGGTTTGGTTTTGTCAGAGATGGGTGCTCCACAAAAACAATCATTGGAAAACATCTAGTGAAAAAAGAAGGCAGAAAATATTTTATTGGCATACATATTGTAGATTTTAAAATATCACAAATTCTTCCTATTTGATGAAGTGCTTCATATGTGTCCTTCAACATAATAGCTTTTGTTAGATATTGACCCTATTTTTTAATGTTCATAAGGGTTTCTGTTGTAATTTTATGTCATTTTTTTCATCTTTCTAACAATGGAAAGCACAATACCTAAATTTCCAAGTTAATAATTTTGCTCCTCAAGGATTATGAATTGTAATTGACTCTTCCAAAAAGTACAGAAATGGTTCCAATTCTTTTTTATATGGTGAGACTTAAACGCAATATCTGTGCTTTCTCTTCAGGTGTTCATATGCTGCCGGATCCCCAAATCTGGTTCTTGTTCCAATTAGGATCTGCGCCTAACTTCACTGACTGAGTTAGCCACATAATGTTGTGACTCCCATGAATATAAAATATAGCACAGAGAGGGGATTTCTGCAGCTCCTCTAGGACAGTGGTGGTGAACCTAGGGCACATGTGCCACAGTCACCAGGCAGAGCTCTCTCTCTCTAAAAACATGAGCCAGGTCTCCCAACAGCCCCAGCAGCTGAAGCCCAGATAACAGCTCAGGTAGGGTACCTTGCAAATAATCAGTGGGCTTGGGATTGCATTTTGGGCTCTTGGTCTCTAAAAGGTTCCCCTCAATGGTGTAGGATACAGTTCAGTATGTGTGGAAAGTGTCAAACCAAAAGATGTTGAAGTTGTGCCTTTGTGTATTCAGAAGTTGACTAGAGTTGCATACAGCTTGGGTGCACTTGGGTGCAGGAAAGGCTTACCTGAACCAGAAGTGGGAGATGAAGAGCTGGGGAGATAGCTCAGTGACATAAGTGCCTGCATGGCAAGCACAAGGTCCTGAGTGCAATCCCAGGTACTTGCAGAGAGAGAGAAAACAGAAATGAGAGGTGATGCACATCCATTTGAGGAATTAAATGGTTGACCAAGAGAAGAAATAGCTTTAAGGATCTGAAGGTTTCATAGTCAGGAAATCACCAAACTATATTAAAAGTGGCAATATCCATACCTCTGTATAACCCTTTTTACTCATTAAGAAAGAAGAAATGCAACACATAAGGGAGATAGAAGTGAACCAGAATACAGTTATAAGTAGAAAGTCTGAGTCCAAAGCCACCTCCCAGTTTGAAATAGATTAAGTTGAAAAGAATAAAAATGTGAGTAAGTCAAATTTGAACTTTTCACTTTCACATGGGATTGCATATTCTAACTACTAAATTGAGACATTTTTAAAATTTAGATGTAGAATTCTCTATTATCCAAGGATAATAAGAAAACCCAGAGAAAAATATATCTCCATTCTTATCTGGGATCACTTTTTCCCAGGTGAATAAAGTCTAAATGAATGGCAGGAGATAAAATAAAATTATGTAAGAGCCAGAAGTGTCAGCATATGCTTGTAATCCCAGCACTCTGGGAGGCTGAGACAAGAACATTGTAAATTGCAGCTTAACCCCAGGGAACTTAGTGACTTAGATAAATTGTCTCAGAAAGAAATTGCAAGAGGATTATGTCACAAACATCAATGGCTCAATAAATATGCTGGTATGATTTTTACATGCACATCTTTTTTGGAGCAAAAGGTAATAAATATGCTTTCCCTAAAGAGTCTTAGTTAATTTTTTTTAAATCTTCAAGTATGTTGCTTTCCAATAAATATACTTACGCTGTCTGCTGCTCTCTGAGTGTGGTGAACCCATAAGCTTCTTCAGTACACGGCACTGTCCTCTTGTCATTTATGAATTAGCAACAGCGTGGTCATATGCACCTCTTGTAAATGTGCTGGATCACAGAAGGCAGCCCCACAAAACTAAGGGTCTTGTGTTCACTTAAAAATTAGATCTGAGGGCCAGTGAGATAGCTCAGCAGACTAAGCACCTGCTTTGCAGGGAGTGGGGTTCAGTCCTCTAAACCACATGCCACACAGCTTCTAACCCAGGACACCATGAGCCAGTCACTGAGACCAGGCGTAGTGGCGCATGCCCGTAATCCC